TAACATTGCTTGATAATTTGTAGTTTTACTTTGTCGATCATGGTGAGTATGCTAATCTGTGACCCCTTAATTTTGCAGAACTGGTGATGGGGTCGTGTTGCGGAAAACATAAAAAGGAGTCAACATCGTCAACTCCTGAAATTCAAGCAAGTTCGGCGGAGCAAGAGGAGAGGGAAGAAACTGAAGCAAGTTCGGCGGAGCAAGAGGTGAGGGAAGAAACTGAAGCAAGTCCGGCGGAGCAAGAGGTGAGGGAAGAAACGGAAGAGTTGCCAGAAGAAATATTGATTACGATTCCAATGATAGGGTTGCCCGAAGAAGAAGAGTTGACTGATACAGGGTTGAGAGTGGCAGACTTGATTAATAGGCCAGAACATGAGGGAAATTCAGTTTCACTTCCAGATGTCTCGATAATGTGCAAAGATATGTTAGAATCAGCGTTTTTATTCATGATGCCAACAATTTTTATCTTTTCTTATTCGCACCTCGAGATCAGGTTAGATTAGTTTAATTATATTTTTGTGTTTAAAATTCAAAAGTTAAAATTGTTTAATTGTGGTCCTCATTTTTCAGCTTTAAGACTTCATTTACCATGATTTTGAAATTGCTTTTCCTACACCTCGGACTGATCTTACCTTGCAAACAAATTACCTGGAGGTAAATAATAAATTCTTTGAACAACATTATAGTTTTTGTTAATAATTTATTCAACGGTGTTTGATATTGTATGTATATGAAATTGTACAGGAATGCTAATTATATGGTCAACCGAAGGCAGCAAGTTTCCACTGTGGAAAACATGATAACACTTATTTATCCTCATATAAGGAGATTAGCAGCGGAAATCTTTACTGCGCATTTTTCCGATTCCGAGACGTTGGTAAAACCTACTACATTCCACTACCAATGGAATTTAGTTAAATATTTGTCTTCATTTTATTTCTGTAGAATTCCAATTTTGTTTTTTCTTTTTTCAACTAGCCGTTTGTTGGGTATCTGATCGGATGTGCAGTACTGTGTGAAACCTCTTGGTTGACGGTCATGTTCGGTGAGTTTGTTTCAACGCACTATTAGTTTCCGCGACTTTCACTTCACTTACCATTTGCCTTGATTCTTGACACTTGTTGCAGGCTTAATTGGACTTCTTGCCTTGGCAAAATTAATTGCTCACTACAGACAGAGAGGCGAGGTCTTAGGAAGAAGGCCTCTCGCGATTCAGCAATGGCTTTTTTGCACTACGATTCTTTTGTGCATGGTATGGAAAACAACTGAAACCGCTTTTACAAAATAGTTCAATCCATCTTGAATGATTTTTTTCATGTCCATGTTATGTATTATGCTGAACATCTATGGCCCAATGATACAGCCCAATTCTTAAGCCCTCTTGAAGGAATGTGACCCAGTTACTTATCAGCTCTGCATTCTCTTCGTTTTACTGAAATGCGATTTTAATGTTTTAAGTGAAAGGCTAAGATGATGTCACGTGGTGCTAGAGTAACCGCAGGATGCATTTTGATTGTTTATATTCATTTGATCCTTCATTTTTTAAGGAGGAGGAGAGTTCTCTCTAATGGAAAATCTCTGGTTTTAACTGTAATCTTTTGTCTTATAGATATTCTTGGTGAAATCTAATATAGATTACTTGTAGGAGAGGCTGGTTCTGTTCTTGGTCGAGCAGTAACGTTTTGTTAATTGATGTAATCTGTTAAGGGTATTTTTGAGAGAAAAAATATGGTCTGAGGGCAAGATCTATCGGATCTTTTGTGTTGTAATCCTTGTACTGATATTCTTTGTTAGTTTTTAGTGGATTGGAGCGATAACTACTTTGGTAGATGCTCAACGTGGTAATTAACTCTCTTTTGGGCGAACATCCGAGCCTTTGGGCAAAAAATCTTCGATGTTCTTTAATATTCTGTCAATAGTTTTGGTTTTTGGGGACTGTTAATACCAACATCCATCAACAGTATTGTCTTGTATTTTGGGAATAAGAATGTAGGGAAAGTTTAAAACTTAAACAATTCTATCAATGGTCTGTTGATTAAATTCTCTTTCGTGAAAGATAACTCTAATTTGGAACTTTGAATTTCGTGAATGTGCAAGCTCACTATTTTTTGATTTGTTCTGATACATTTAAAATTATATTGCTTAAAAAATTTACTGCGTTCTTTTAACTGCTTCCTCGACTATTAACTTCATTTTCTCTCTCCTTTTATGTCACTGGGAATCGTTTAGTACAAGAGATCTGGTGCAGCTCCTGTGGAACCCGGTGGACTCCCGGGTCAAGTTTGTTCAACTGTCCCCACTGGTCCAAATGGTGGACATGGTAGAGGTGCTGTCCCCATGCAGAATGGGTTTCGTCCAGGTTATGGAATGCCTGTTTGGGGAGCTAATCCTCCCCTCGAGCTTGCTGCAGCATTCCGCATCCAAGATATTCCATCTGAAAATGCAAATCTTGGAAAAGATGCAGGTGCAAACGACTTAGCAAGAGCATCAGCACTTGAACGGCCCCCTCTTGTATGTTTTGGAATCCATGTTTTCTTTATGGTTCATGTTGGATGAGATATGGAAGCTTTTATTCATGCTACCTTTATGCTCCATTTTGGGATCTCTATGGAATACCTTAGCCACTGTCTTCTTCACTTAATTCTCACTAGAAAAGTTAATTTCAGCTTTGCCCATCAAAAGGGTTCTTTGAAGTTTCTAGTAATTAACAAACCAACGGTAATATTACAGAGTTCAAAAGTAACGTCTCACCAGCTTTCTTTCATTTGTTACTAGCCTGTTGGCAGAACAATACTGGTAGAAACTGGATCCGGCGATCTTCTCCCATCTATTGACACCAGGCGAATGCAGGTTTCAGATGCAATAATCGAGGTGAGCAACAAATTCTTTAACATCATTGCATCTGTGTCACACTACTGATGTTCTCTGGCAAACAGATTGTGCGTCCGGCAGATAATAATGACAAGGCTGAGCAACAAGAAAACGAAGCACGTGTTGGTGAGAAGGAAGAATCATATCCTGCCACCATCGGGTCATAGATGAGTGCATTTGACCTATACATATTTCAATACAGATGTTTCGAAACTTGCTAGAATAGCTTCCATACATTCTAGTCTTATTACTTGATATGAATGAAGTTTAGCATTACACATGTATATAGATTTTCCTTTGCCCAAAGATTGTAGTGTTTGAATTCAAGGAAAAACATTGTCATGTGTTTTGTCTTTTAATTGCGTTTGACACTAAGAAGTCAGATGGGAACTTCTGATAATATTAGAAGGAGATACCTTTTGAATCTTTAATGAAGTAAATGCTCTTTAAATCTCTTAGCTTAGTTGAATTTCAAAAGATAATTGGGTAGTATTATATTTGTTTGTGTAAGAAAAAAGCTGTAGTTGTGAAACATTGGTGTACATATATTAACAATTTGATGTGGAATGTGTAGTTGAGAAATAAGGAAAAAATTTTGATTTACATGTAATATTATTTTAATAAAGAATGTGTGGTTTAAAAGAAGAGAGAGAAAAATGTATTTTGAAAAAAAATGATTACCAAACGGGATCGGAGTATGTTCTATTTAAAGTATATCTATGATATAGTGAGATAAGGATTTCAGAGTCAAATAACAACTTTTTTTACAAATATATAGTATTTGTTGACTAATCGACCTTCAGTTGGTATGAATTTCATAATAAATTCATTTAAATAAGGAAGAATCAGTTTTATTAACCCAATCACTATTTTGAACCTAAAAAAGTGTGTTGAGTTTCATAACAAATCCATTTATATAGGGAATAATCAGTTTTATTAACCCATTGAATTTTCTTCATCCACCATGGAGTCCTACTTGCCTGTATCAACATATCATTAGCCTCTCATACATTTTCCAAAAAAATATATATATTCTTAACTTAAACTATAAGGGTGTGTTTGATTACATTTATTTTCCATGAAAAATATTAGTTTTCCACCCAAATTCCTACTTTGAATGTTTGATTGCGATTTTTTTCCATGAAAAATATTTTCCAACTTTTGAAAATATGCCTAATTTTCCTTATTTTTAAGGAAAATATTTTCCTTGGGTAAAGATAATTTTTATTTTCCACAAAAAATAAAAAATATTTTCTTTTTTAGGTGATATTTTCCATGCTAATCAAACTTAGAAGATCAAACATATTCTAAGTTTGTTTAAAGAATTCATAATTTACCTGAAAATGAAGGGTTTGTAATGACGGATCACTACCACGTAAAGTAAACCCACTTGGGAAGCAACAAAAATACTAAAGCTGACAAATAAAAATTGATCAAAAGATTTTAACATGTATTATATATCTCTTAAAGACAAAAATATAATTAAATTAATATCTAACCTATTGTTGAGATGTGAAGATGAAAGGGAATGATATGTCCCAATCACGAGCGTAAGTATTGACATCAACACATGTCTCCACTTTATCTCTGAAAACATATCAACCGAATGTTAAATTTAATTGTAGTCATGCTAAGAATCAAGAATCACCACATAATAAATTAATAAAACGAATTCATACCTGCGGAAGCCATTGTTGATATAAATAATTGTTGTAATAACAGACAAGATTTTCCCCTCCTTACTCCTCACAAAAGTATTAGCTATCAATGAGGCAAGCCAATAAAACATTTGGAGAGGAGAGGGGACTTAGCCTTTATATATAGAAAATAATTAAGTCGTCCCATTACGACTAGAATTCTAATTAGGGTTTATTTCCGGCCCATATACTTTAAATTACCACATCAAATTAATTACAACCCGTAAGGTGTAAAAGGCCCAACTGATCACTTAATAAATTTGGCCCAAACACAAATATCATTATGAGCCGTATATCTAACCCGTAAAATTTGCAATCCAATGTGAAGCCCACATATGGAATAATTAATTATTCCAACATTCTCCCACTTGAGCAAACATTTGATTGCCATAACAAAGTTTTAACACCCGAGTTAGACTACATAGGTGGCCACAAAAGTATAGTTTCAATGATGACACCTTACGTAACATGATCCGGTCCAACAAGAATATTAACACCGAACATAGAAGTCATTACACCAATTTAAGAGATGTAAGACCATTCTACAGTTACAAATGTCAACATCCTTATCGACATGGATCCCCATCCTCCAACCAATGTGGTAGTATGTGGTATGAACTTAGCACCAAATGTGATCAAAACTGTGCTAACTCATATCGGTCCTCATAATGCTTCGAATCAAAATGAAGCCACATGTTTCCAAAAGAGACTCATTTTTATGTCTTTCAAGATATCAATAATATAAAAAAAAGACATAAGTCAAATGCATGCTTAAAATAGTTCATGAATAGGGGAAAAATTATTTTATTATCAGAAGGGGCTGTACCCAAAAATATATGGGTTGCCTACGTACCCCATAAAGGGATCAAGCCCAAAACGTAGTTCTTTACATAAATAACTCCCACTAACCAAAAATATCAAATGTTTCCACAATACCCATATTAGTAACATGTGTCTTAAAGACTTTTGGAGCGAGTCCCTTAGTCAAGGGATCTGCAACCATCGCCTCTATATTAATATGCTCTATTTTCGTCTGCCCTTCTTTGACTCTGTCTCTAATAACCAAGTATTTAATGTCAATATGTTTTGATCCACCGGAACTTTTATTATTCTTTGAAAAGAATACTGCTGCACTGTTATCACAGTAGATGGTGATCGGTCTTGAGATGGAATCAACAACTTTCAAGTTAGAGATGAAATTTCTTAACCAAACGGCTTGGACTATAGTCCCATAACATGCCACAAATTCAGCTTGCATAGTAGAAGATGCCACTGAAGTCTGTTTAGCACTTTTCCAAGAAATGGCACCACCAGCTAATGTAAAAATATAACCTAAGGTTGATTTCAAATCATCTTGACATCCAGCAAAATCAGAATTTGAATATCCTACCACCTCAAGATGATTTGTACACTGGAATGTAAGCATATAACTTTCAGTTTTCTTCAAATATCTCATAACTTTTTTTAGCTGCTTTCCAATGCTCTTGTCCTGGATTAGACTGAAATCTGCTAAGGACACTTACTGCGTAGGCTATATCCGGTCTAGTGCAAATTTGAACATACATCAAGCTCCCCATAGCACTAGCATATGGGATCATCTTCATAGACTCCCTTTCCAGCTCATTCCTTGGACATTGAGTTTTGTTAAACTTATCTCCTTTTATAATAGGTACATCACCAGGTGCACAATTCTGCATATTAAACATTTCTAGAACACGTCTTATATAAGCTTTCTGAGAAAGTCCCAATAAACCATGATTTCTATCACGATGTATTTCAATGCCAAGTACATAGGAAGCTTCTCCAAGATCTTTCATCTCAAAATTAGCAGACAACATTTTCTTTGTCTCATGAAGCAGCCCTAAGTTACTGCTAGCAAGTAGAATGTCATCAACATACAATACAAGGAAAATAAAATTTCTCCCACTGGTTTTAAGATAAATGCATTGATCAATAGTATTTTCGACAAAACCAAAATATGTCACAACCTCGTCAAACTTTAAATACCACTGTCTCGCTTGCTTGAGACCATATAAGGATTTGTTTAACTTACACACCAAGTTTTTTTCTTTTACAACAAAGCCTTCAGGTTGTTTCATATAAACCATTTCAGAAAGATCTCCATTCAAAAATGCTGTCTTAACATCCATTTGATGAAGCTCCAAATTATAGTGTGCCACAAGAGTTATGATAATTCGAAAAGAATCTTTCGATGAGACAAGGGAAAAGGTTTCAACATAATCAATGCCCTCTCGTTGAGTGAAACCTTTTGCAACCAATCTTGCTTTCTTTCGTTCAACATTTCCTTTTGAATCTAATTTACTTTTGAAAATCCACTTGTTATCTACAGCCTTAGCATCTGGAGGAAGTTCAACAAGATCCCAAACTTTATTCCTTTCCATGGAATTCATTTCATCTTCCATGGCAGCTATCCATTTATCTGCCTCAGGGCTTGTCAATGCTTGATTATAAGTTACATGATCAACAATATGCTCAATATTAAAATCGCTCTCCAATAAATATGTAACATAGTCACTGGACAATGCAGATCTTCTTTCCCTTTGTGATCTCCTAACTTGTGGCTCAAGAACCGATCCAATCGTTGTTTGAGGAATTGGAGATTCCTCCTGGTTCCTCGGTTCTTCATTAACAACTTCAATTGGTTGGGAACCAACTCTTTCCTGTATGATGGGAACTAGAACAACAACTTGATTGGGTTCAACAAGAATTTCTCTCAACGTGGAACTCCCACTATCTCCAAAATCGTTCTCCAGAAACTTAGCAGTAATGGACTCCACAATTCTAGTGCCGCGATTTGGACAGTAAAACTTATATCCCTTTGATCTATCTGGATACCCAATAAAATAGCCAGGAGTTGATTTAGGGTCTAATTTCTTTTCAAATGGATTATAAATCCTAACCTCAGCTGGACATCCCCAAACTTTAAAGTGAGCCATACTTGGCTTATGTCCTGTCCATAATTCAAAAGGTGTCTTTGCAACAGCTTTACTTGGAACTCTGTTCAAAATATACATAGCTGTTTTCAAAGCTTCACCCCACAAATATTCAGGCAAATTTGTTCTACTCATCATACTTCTAACCATATCTTTTAGAGTTCGATTACGTCTTTCAGAAACACCATTCTGCTCAGGTGTCTCTGGCATGGTGTATTGGGGCACTATTCCGCACTCTTGTAAAAATTTTGCAAAATCACCCATATTTTGACCAGACTCGTCATATTTCCCATAGTACTCACCACCTCGATCAGA